AATGTCATTGTAGGAAACAAGCCTTCAGTGGCAGAGAAAAAGAGAACTTTAGTTCCTGTAGATCTAGCTGAGCCCCAAATAAGGTAATTAAGATGTGTACAGTTGTGGATTCTGCTTTTTGCCTTTCCTATATTTGCTGCTTTGTACTGTCTTGGCCATTGCAATTCTTTGTCTTCCATTATCATAGGAAGACTTTTTGCAATGTCATTGTAGGAAACAAGCCTTCAGTGGCAGAGAAAAAGAGAACTTTAGTTCCTGTAGATCTAGCTGAGCCCCAAATAAGGTAATTAAGATGTGTACAGTTGTGGATTCTGCTTTTTGCCTTTCCTATATTTGCTGCTTTGTACTGTCTTGGCCATTGCAATTCTTTGTCTTCCATTATCATAGGAAGACTTTTTGCAAACAGGTGGGTTTTGTATCATTCTGAAAAAAATTATGTTTGGGTTTAACTTTATCTTCTCTGGTTGGCTGTTGGCATCATTCAAGAAAGCTTTGTCCCCTGTTCTCCTATGCCCTTATAAAGATTAACACCAGGCACTGGAATTAGCACTGGAAGTGAACTACAACCCTTTCACAGCTGAACATAAGAACATAAGAATGGCCATACTGGGTCAGACCAAAGGTCCATCTAGCTCAGTATCCTGTCTGCAGACAGTGGCCAGTGCCAGGTGCCCCAGAGGGGATGGACCGAAGACAATGATCAAGCGATTTGTCACCTGCCATCCTTCTCCAGCCTCTGACAAACAGAGGCCAAGGACACCAGTTTATCCCCTGGCTAGTAGCCTTTGATGGACCTAACCTCCATGAAATTATCTAGCTTCTCTTTAAACTCTAATACATCCATTGGAATTCTACTGACATCACATGACATCCCCCACATGCAACAAAAGTAAAATGTAAAAAGAGAAGGACAAATACCATCATCATCATCATCCTGCATTGAGCTTCTACAGGTTGGACTTCCCCGGGCCAGAGCCTTCAGGACCCGAGTGGTCCTGAACCAGGAAGTTTTCTTGACCAGGGGAGGTCAAGGCTCTCCTTCCAGCCATCAGCCCTGCTTCCAGGTGCTAGTCCCAGCCACTGAGCTTCACTCCAAGTCCTGCTTGGGGCTGCACTCCCTGCCCCCAGCCCTGCTGCCTCCAGTCCTGGCGGGGGGGGGCCC